TTTTTTTTTTTTTTTTGGGGGGGGGGGGGATATGGGAAGGTGGTGATCTTGAAAGGCTAAGTTTGGATGATGATGAATAACCAAACCCCGGCAGTTTTTTTCTCATGTCAGTGTTGTGTACAAGAGTGAGGTTATTGCTATTGGAGGCGAGAGTGGTCTTTTTCCAAGCCGGGATATTTAACTTTAACCACATGTTCCAGAAAATTTATCAATAACGTTTCCTACAGTACATATGTTAGGAATATTTTCCTGGTGAATTTGCATCATGACCAAGCCAAGCCATTTAATTTAAGTAGTATTCAACCATAGTGCTTCGCATATAGCCTTTTATTGTCCTATAAGTGCCGAAATAGACTTTTCACACTTGCACTGTAAACATTTAAACTATCAAGGGCAAATTAGGTCATTGGTACCTGTCAATGCTTGGGAAACAGAGCTATACAAGCAATTGCCAGTTGCATCAGATCTAAAAATATAACCAAAGATTATATTATTATTATCTTTATAACGTACATTTACAGAGCTATTATCAGTCAATCAATACTCTATAAAGCATGTAGGCCTACACAATAAATACTTTTTATCTAACATGATCAAATATTTGAGATCAAATTTCTGCCAAAACTCAGCTACTTTAGGTGTTTTAATTTTATACACATAATGAATATGTATGCAATATATAAAACTTTGGACCTAACCTCGCACAATTATGCAAATCGTACGTTCAATTCAACGATTTATTGTTCAAAATTCAAACCACTTTACCTTATTGCCATAATGCCATACACCTCTTTATAATTTCCTGGAATAGACGACGAGAATTCGAGAAATCAACACATCTCAGCTAGATAGTTTCGGCCAAGACAATTTTCTTGCATCCATCCAATTTTTTTTGCTTGAAATATTCTCCACAGAACACCAGTCACTTTCAAATAACGATCTAACCTTTTCGAAATCTACCTCGTCATTCATTTCGATAATAGTAAATAAATACAAACAAAATAATTTGCTTGTAAAATTGTACAGAACTGCAACAAAGCTACCAAGTGCAGAATGCGGAAAATTGAAGATTAAAAGATTAGAAGGCCAATCAGAGCAGATGTTCTTTAACTCTTTTGCGCAAATTGTTTAATCAGAAGCTGCTATCTATTTGCAGAATTTGTCAAAATACTCAAAATTTCGCAATCGTTAGTCAAAATAGGTCTGACCAATCAACATGCCTGTAATGTGTAATCTGAGCAAATTTGACCAATCAAATCACATGAACTAAAATCCAGAATAGTCAATTTTCATTTGAATACCGCTTATCTGACTTATCGTTTAACTAATCAATCTCTGGCTCAATGTGCAAAAACTGATCGATGTTTATATGCTGGAGTGTGATAGAGTTTTGATTGCGTGATCAGAAATGAAGAGAAGTGTTTGCGCTGGGAAAAAATTCAAAAACCTTAGTCCAAATTTTTTTATCTGCCTTTTTTACGTTAGTCGCGTGACTAATCTGACTACCCCTAGATCCGTCCCTGGCTTAGGGCTTTCAATTACTTCATTTGGCAATATTTAGCTACAAAACTTTATACTAAGAATGCCGTGCACTTAAAGCAATCTTTACACGAAACTGTTCAAATTAGGAATCATTAAATGTGAATCTTCCAAAAACTGTGAACAGCTGTCTTGCAGACGAGTCGCATTTCTCACCGCACATAAAAAATTCAGAGATAGCATTTCTTAAAACCGGATAATTGATGACTTCATTAATCCTTTTCGTTTCTATCCACATGATGTCAGGGAATGCAAAGTTCAGATAAACGGAGGCCGTCCTTTTTTCTGTAGGAAATTACCTGTACTAAATGCTTTCGCGTCTAAAATAGCAGTCATTGTTACAATTAAAATGAATCCTCGCCACACTTATCAAAGAACATACAGGAAAATGACAGCAGGCATACCAGCGTTACAAGACTATTTTAAACCGGAAACAAGCGTCGTTTAGAAGAAATATCTTGTTTAAGTCATGCATACAAAGCACAAACGAAAGAATCGTTACATTCGTAAATAGGCTACGAAAAGCCACTTTCTCATGGAAGTTTTGTGCGCTTACAGACAAATTGACCAGAGACCGTATCGCGATCGGGAAGTTGATCAAGACAACTCCGAACGTTTTAGTGATTTTCAAGCGAGACGGTAGATCAGAAGATAATACAATGAAAGTAAGCGAAGCAAAACGGAGACAATAGCGCCAGGACAAACCGAAGAAAAATGCAATCAATGTAGTAAAGAAGGTCGACACAAGCGAGAAGACTGTATTGCGCAAGGCCAAAATTGTCGATTACTTTCAAAACCTGAATAATTTCCCAGTGGTTTGTTGTCTTAAGGGAAAAATGTCTAAAAAATTCGAGGCGGCGAAACATCAAAACACGAAGCAGATGTATCCGTAGGCGAATCCACTGAAAACGAAGACCAAATTTTCAAGATAAAGAATGTTTCGGGAGTTAAAAACGCGTGAAAATAGCTGCCTGCTTTTAAGCGAAGTTGAACAAATCGTTACCGAAATCGAATTTCAGTTAGACACCGGAGGAACGTGCAACGTTAAGAGGATAGATAAACTTTGCAGTCGTCAGTCAAACAGGAGACTCTCCATTGAATAAAAGAAATATCAAGATACGATTATTTGACGGGCCAACGACACAATAAAAGTCCTCAGAAACGGTTTAGCAGACGAGCTTCAATATGAAAGACACACAAGCCAATATTGTCGGCCAAGACGCGCGAACACCTGAAAATTTTAAAGTTTGCAGATGATATTACTCTATCAGTGAATAGCCTTTTGTCTCGGACAACCAAGTGTTCATATCCACTCATGCACCAAAAAAGACCCTGAGAAAATACAAAGACGTGTTGGTAGGCCTCGGTCATATTGGAGACAAATCGCTGAGACCAAGACGAATCGCTGTTGTACGAAAGAAAGAAGTAAAAGAGAAAATTAAAGAGTTGAAGAAGAAAAGAATCATAAAAGATAGACAGAACCAACAGAATGGATCAGCAGGATGGTCGTTGCTGCCAAACCTGGAAAGATTCGAATCTGCCAGGACCCTGGAGATTTAAATAAAGCTCTTTTGAGACCCAAATACCACATTGGCACTTTAGAAGAAATTTTCCCCACTCTGAGAAATGCAAAGGTCTTCATCACCCTTATTCTGAAGAATGGTTATTATCATATCGGACTGGACGAAGAAAGTAGCAAGAGAAACAACCTTTTGGGTTCCTTTTGGCATATGGGGACACCTCAGAATGCCTTGTAGTATAAAGATTTCTTCAGAAGAGTTAGAATGTCGACATAATGAAGTCACAGCGGATTTTGAAAGTGTGGAAATCATACGAGATACCTCAGAAAAGTACAAGCAATAAAAGAAATGGCGAAGCCAATATTCAAAAAAGAAACTCTAAGTCCACTTGGTTTTATCAATTATCTGGCAAAGTCAATCTGTTTTGAAGTTGGCGGCACATAATAGAAATACGGTAATCGGTTACCATTTGATTTCTAAAAGAGGTGTGCTAATGTTGCAAAATACAACTTTATGCACTATTCTAATTATTTCCAATATATGATGACTTTTATACTATAGTAACTTAATATATTTAACCTAGACGAATAATTTCTAAAAACAATGGTCGTAGAAGAAGCTTTTTGCAAAACCGAACTTCCTATATCTTCCGGTAATTGATTTCATTTTGAGCCCCACTATAACTGACACTTATATTTTGGTAATTCTGGCCTAGGTACCCAATAAAAGAGCCTGACCAAGAACCCCTTGAATTAATTTGTTATAGTTAGCTTCAAAGTTTAAATTTTGTGTTCTTCGATTGGACAAAAGCGTACCACGTACCTGTACACAAAACGTCGTGTTTACGGCATTGCCCTGGCAATAAGGCAACCGGTCCATAATATAACATTTATTGACCGGTTTACGATAGAATAGGTGCACCGTAAAGTTCCAAAGCTCATTGCAAAAGAAGGGAAATATTTTGAGGTTGATTGTACATATTAACTCATTTGTTTGCACTTGTGGTATTTAATACCCACCGCATCCTTTACTTTCTATTCTTGCCTCACACTAATCCCAATTGACACAGAATAGGCCAAGTTTGGAACTTACTCTGTACATTTAGCGTAAATGTCGAATATTTGTGGTGGGAATTCGAGTTTCCAGTCCGAAGAGAATTGTATCGAAAAACGTATCGAATTCTTCCTATCTCGTTCATGTTAATGGAGAGCTAAACCCCAGAAACAAAGTGGCATTGGTCGAAAGTGTAATAGCGAAATTATGACACATCATAGCATCAGGTAGAAACCTCTGAAGTTGAATTTCCGCCACCGTCATCATCAAGTCAAAACTTGGTCGTTAATCCTAGTAAATAAATATATCCTGGACAATCAATTACTCAGAGCAATGGAACAAATTTGATGAATTATATATGTAGCACAGAACCATGTTTGTTTTATCTTGAAGCAATCTATGACGGTTAGTTGCATGATTTTATCATCACTTTCTTTTCAACCAATCAGATCAATTTGTTACAAGTTTTTGCACTGTGATAACAGAAAATTGCACTGTGATTACAAATTTTGCTCTGCTGTTTGAGACTATAACTGCACTGAAATCAACAATCACAGTTGAAATCAACAATCACATTTTTGTGTATATTACTATATAAGTAATTCATAATTTTAGATTGATATTGTAAGTGCGCCCTGTTTTTCTACCTAGGTGAATTATTATTAAAACTCTATATTATTACACAATGTTTCTTATACCAAATTTCGAAGCAAAGACCACAAAAAACCTCGAGTAATCCGGACCTTTTCGAACATGCATGCTATAGGTATTTCCACTGCTGAACAGCACAACGTTCCAGAATTGCCAAATTCTTATATGCTCAAACAACTATTTTTAAATATTCAAATGAGAATATCCATTATTTGTTTTACTGTTAGCTAATTTAATTAATTATATACGAAACTTTAACAGAAAAGCAGTTAGAGATCATTCGTAATGAGGCTCTAATGACATACAGTATTTTTTGTATGTCTGCTGAACTGTAGCCCGATTCCCAAGATCTATATATTCAGCATACTGAAAACATCCTCTCCCTAATTCGTCGACATAACTTGCAGTATAGCTTCTACTTTAACGTGGTGATTGCGGTGATAATAGCTTCTACTTTGTAAAATTGCTGTCGCAAAGCAACATTTTCTTTCGACAGCATCGTTTTTATTGACAAGATGAACGATGCTGACAAAAGCAGGTCGATTTGAGCGAAAAAATTCGCCTAGTGGAATGGGTTTGAGCACATATACTCATTGAATGGTTCTTTGAGAAAATTGAACACTGGTATATAGTTATCCCCATACGCAATTCTCCTTTGTGAAAAAAACCATGCAACTATAAAAATGGCAGATACAGTATATAGTTTAGCTTGGCACATCTATACTCCTAATACGTGCTGACATAAAGTGTTATAATTATAAAATGCATTGTAACTTAAAGCAATAACATAAAGTATTAAACATAAACTGTGCATCCTAGGATAAATTTAAAAAATCGCAAAATACAAATGTACAAGTATGAACTTATATTAACTAAAGCAATACAAATAAATGCAACTGTTTCCAGTGAGTCAATAACACCAAGAAATAAAACCTATTACATGTGAACGAATTAAATGGTATTCAGTTCGCGCTGTCATTTTTTTCTTAATTTTGAGTTTTGAGATAAAAAAATTTGATTTTCCAGAACATTTTCTTTCCATTGCACAAAGAGCGTTTAGCCGATTTATTACTTAATGCATGTACAAGTTGCAAACTTTCATACATCAACACAACACTGATGAACTATACAAGGCTACTACAGTGTAGATTTGATTTAATGTCTGTGGCATGCAGTGCAGGTAATGTATAGCGCCGATAAAAAATGAAAAATGCCTGAAAAATGCAGAGTAATATGCAGAGAATTGAAATTTAACTTCTCGTCTAATGGCCCTCGCTCGAAATGTCGACGTTCTCCTTGTATTTTCTAGGTGCATGGTTGTATTCCTGTCTGTCCAAATATTTCTTAAAATTCATTTCGTCTGCAGGTATTCAGCTACAATATGTAAAACCAACTTCTAAGATCACTCTTGGCAATTGCTCTTTTGTATTTTGCACGGACTACGGTACTCACATTTAAATACAAGTTTTTATTTGGTTCAAATGTATTCTTTAATTTTGGCATATTGTAAACACTGGACTGGACTTTGGACTGGACTTTGGACTTTGGACTTTGGACTATGGACTTTGGACTATGGACTTTGGACTTTGGACTTTGGACTTTCGATTTTGAAATTTTATTATTTTTAAAATTTTCGTATTTTTATAAATCTAAACATAGAACAAAAATTTGTCATTTATAGCATCTGCCCATTGCCCATTGGCACAGATAAAATCTGCTCAGATGTTTGAGTTGAAAACATGACGCGACATGGCATTTTTTAAAACTTAATAAATTAACGTAGTCTCTAACGTTTTGTAGTAAAGGCTTAAAGGTACAATTAGACATACATTGTATTCGCTTGATTGGCATGATTACACCTGAAAATTTAATCGCTTCGTAGGCTTTCGGTGCTTATAACCACGTTATAACCGATCGAAGCCTCTTCTGATTCTTCGCCCTTAAGGCTTAAGCTTAACTTAAGTACCTATACTCGTCGCTAACGTTAATTGTAACAAATAGATTTATCCCTGTGTATATAATCTAGACATTAATGTTGATGAATTGATTGACTCTTTTTAAATACAGTATGTAAACATATCGCATGCATGTAATTTTTACGGATGAAGCACCCGAGAGAACCACTCTTTCAAATCGTAAAATAGATCATTATTAATGCGAAATTCAAACAAAATTCTGCAGAAAACGCTATTATAAACCATGCAATCGTATCGGGGGATTGTTGTACAGCCGGCTGCCGGCCACATGTAACTTTCCTTTAATCGCTTTATTATGTTTTATACAGTGTCAGTGTATACAGAAGGACGACGGCACAGCTTCAATCCTGCTCAATTATTTTAAGATTTCATAGCAGTGCCTTAAGTTAAGGGACTGTTCGTTAATTATGGCCGGGGGGGGGTCTGGTGGGGGAGGATATTTTTCGAGTCGATGAAAAATGGGGGGATACAGTTTTAGTTCTAGCAATTTCATACATTGTTTGACTTTGATACTATACAAAGAAAATATTGGAAAAAAATAAAGAAATTTCTAGATTAGTACAAAAACACTATTAGAACAGAATATTTTGATAAATTCAAAAAAACGAAACAATAAACAAATTATTTTTAAATGAAAAATATACAAATATAATCTCGATCCTAGATTAAATATGGACAGATGTGTAACTTCAGTATAAAAAAAGTTGTCCCATGGTCGCCATTTTCTTAGCAAGTGTCGCTCGCGTGATTGGTCGTGATTATTCGTCATTTGGTAATACGTCATGGCTTTCGAAAATGCTTTCAACACCTTTTCTACAACTTTAATTGCTTTCAACAATTTTAAACATTCAACAAATGATGCTCTTGCGCCATAAATTTAAATCCAAAAAAGCCGCAATATGTACTATTTAAAACACGAGTAGGAGTGTTTTATCAGATATATAACGCGAGGCGCAGCCGAGCGTTATATATCTGATAAAACACGACAACGAGTGTTTTGAATAGCTTAAAATACGAATACAAAAGAATGCTAATTAGGATGAACCATTATATAATCATACTAATGAGGATGAACCATTATATAATGCCTCAGGCTCTATCAGATATAAAGCAGTGAACTCTATATATATATATATATATAGAGTTCACTGATATAAAGTCATTCCACGTGACATATTATGGCTGACATGATTTGCCAAAAGGTTTATGAATTATTAATGAGTATTTTAAAGTAATATAAAACACGTTTTAAAAATGTAAACTGCACGCGCAAGGAAATAATTGGCGGGCGTAAATTTTTCTCACATGATTTTTTTTTTTTTTGGGGGGGGGGGGGGCAATTTTAAAAACGTTGAATTTTAGGGAGGTACATTTCTTGATAAACTACCTAAAAAATAAACACCAGCCCCACTTGGCAATAATTATAACGAACCGTCCCGAGTCTATTTAATTTAATCACCCGTTAAAAGACCATAACTTGACCGGATTCTAATTCAGAATAGTAACGATATTCACGCAATTGATATTCAATTTTTAATACTTTAAGTGTCAATTTTAAGCCACAATATTTACTCGAACAATTAGTATACATCACCAATAATATAAACCACCGCACAGTAATACGAACCAGTTAATATAAACCATCGCGCATGCAGATATAGATAAATTAACGATGGAGTCGTCATTCAAATAAATCAATTAACTCCCTTCCCTTTCATCTTTAACCTTCTAGTAAGCCCTCTTTTTGATAGAAGTAATCAGAGGGTTTTCTTATGATCACGTGATCATTTACCAGTAAACGTCACTATATAATACCTTGCTTAAAATACCACGTTGGTATTAAAAAGGAGAGCGTGAGTGCAAACATACTTTATATACAACTAATTCAAAAAATGTTGTCCCTTTGCAAACCTTAAACTCTGAACCTTAAACTCCAAGCGTGCAAAGCATAATGGAAGCATTATTTTTAATCAGTTTAAAAATCAAATGGGGCCCATTTCTTAGAGACATGGTCATATCTCCTTATACGAGAACAACAAATAGCTGCAATATTCAACTCCTAAACTTGAAACTTGTACTCCCATTAAGCTTTGCGCGCTTAGAGTTTAAGGTTTGCAAAGGACAACCTTTTTTGAATTGACTGTATATATGGAATGCACCCACCCCCTTCCCTGGTTGCCCCTAATAAGCATGCATTGCAAAACATTCGGCCTTTTCCATAGATAAATTGTGGTATTCATATGAAATGCCCTCTAAATACTTATACATGCATGATAGTTCAATTCTTTAACTCAACACAAACGTATT